GTTCCAACTGTGTGCCAAGCAATTTGCATACTTTGTCATATTTAGTAGTCAAGACGCATCTTCAAAGTAGATTTTATCAGGCTTCTTTCTAAAATGTGGAGGAAGACTCACAGGGATTCAGTGGTCCTATCCCCCGCCCCACAAAATTACAAACTCAATAAATAGCAGCTTTTGAAATAGTGCCCAGGAGTGTGGTTGCAAAGTCCTCACCTTTCCCCTAAAACAGGCCTAAATGTGAACACCGAGGGTAACGGTGTTGTGTTCTCCAGTTTAATCCCTGCACTTACTGTTACATCGTGTGTCTGCTGAAGGTATACTACATGAGAAAAATCAGAGAACAAAAGCAGTATTCTTCATTGCTAGGACCTTTCCAACACGTTTTATTGAACGCTTTTATAACATTCAATTTTAGAGGTACTGTAAAAGTCCCCAACTTTACAGAATACCTGGCATGCAAAAGAGTCGTCAAATTCACACCATTGGTGCTCAGTGGATTCTAAGCGTGACGCTGTAGGAACCGACTAGGAAGGGGGAGAGAGTGAGAGAAGCCGTCAGATTTGGTAGGAAAATTGACCATTGATGCTACTGAGGTTGTAAGTCTTGGGATAGGACACGCTGAGTTCTTTAGGTAACACAATAACCTCTGTTACCAGAGTATTCTTTAACAGCCCCCAGCCACACAGTTTTGTGGACCATCTCCAGTTGTCCAGCAACTCCTTTGGAATGATTTAAGACCGTTGATTGATTCCATGTAAGGAGCAGTATCTAATGCATTTTTTTTTTTTTTTTTTTTTTTGCTTACAAGAGGCTCACATAAATGCTGCAGTCACTCGAGAGACAGAGCAGCGTCCACAAGTGACACAACAAACGATAATACCATCTATTTGTTTTACTTCACAAACATTTCACAAAGCCAGTCTCACGGTTCCATGGACTTTACAGCCCCGAATCTTTGAAAACTGATTGTCCCATAATTTTATTGTAATTCATGACACTGTTAGTTCCAGATATTTGAGCCATGACTTCCTTGGCTCACTGTTCTGTCTTTCCAACAAGAATATATTTTCTGTGTTCCTCTATTCAAGCTCATCCTTCAAAGACACACTTGCCAAACTTGTTTATGAGGGAACCTGTCAGTGCCATATATTAGAGAAGGAACCAAAACACTGTAGGTGTCCACAAGGGAACAACTAAGATTGTAAAATATCTTGAGCTTGTCTTAAACGAAAAAGCTGTAGAAATAACTCAGGGTATTTAGTCAAAGGAAGAGAGACTTTGGCAATATAAAACCTAAATATTAGATAAATTAATGGATTTAAAGGAGGAAAGCAGAACCAATGACAGTAATAGTATCTACTAGTGCTAATATGATACCAGTGTAAATGCTCATACTAACTTTGTAAGGAATGCAGTGTTATTATGCTCATTTTGCAATGTATGCTCCCAAAATCCGGGATGGAATAACCAATATTCTGACTTTCTTGTGTCTTATTCCAACTTGTACTTCTTTGCCACCACGCTATAGTCAATAGTGTTTTGGCAACTTTTCTTCATGGAAGTCAGACATAAGAGGAAAAACACAGGTGTCAACATAGAAGACTTCTCATGCCAATCACCCTAATGCTGTGGCATCTTGGTAACCTACAGGAAAACTCTGAGGGCTAATGCAGTAGGTAACTCACCACTGTCATTAGACACTGGAGCTCCTCAGATATTGGGACACACAGCCTGGGAAACTTTATCAGATTTGTTAGGGGGCTGATTTAGCATTTGCTACAAACAAGGACATTCTAACAGTATGACATGGCTTGGCTCACACAAATGAATTACATACTACTAGAGAGGCTTCATAAAAAAAGCAGAGCCATTTATTAGTAGTGTTAAAGGAGGGGGATTTGTTTAATTGGATTATGCAACCTCACCGATGAACTAACTCTAATTTACATGTCTTACACGAGGTACTTTCCATCTAGGCCAACTGCAAAGGAATCCATACCCAGTACCTTTGTCAACATTGGGATTTTAAATATTTATTAGCCACCATCTTGATTCATTTCATTTTCTTGGTAACTGCTAAATGCTATTTAACTAATGACCGAGGCACTTGAACATTGAATGGGGACTGTAAACACCTAAGGTCACTATTGACATATTGAACATCTTACATGATACAGAAAGTTCAGTCTTTCTCTTTCATTCAGTGAAGCAAGACGACAAAACTCAAGCAAGGCTTGATATCAGTTATTCTTTAAGTTTGTTATCCTCATTATCATCACATGAACCTAAAATAAAACAAAGCATTAGACTTCACATATTCTTTAACATTAAAAGGTTCATTTGGGAGCCAGAGAG